GAAGTCAAAAGCCAAACAGTCACAGGTAATCTGCATAAGCATAATTCCATACAATTTTCAATCCGTTCCATATACCAATGTGTCTTCCCTTCTCGAGTGAATGCACTCCCTCTGGTGGCTAATTTACTATCTCCAATTCACTCTTTTTTTTTTTTTTTTTAGAGTTAAGGTTGTACGCGAGCAGCTGGCTAAAAGAACTGAGAGAGCAATAAGCTTCTGCTTTTATTAGGCTAGTTTAATGTTTTATGTTCTCAACACTGAGGGTACAGATAAAGTCTGTCCATTCAAATGTATTTAAAAATAATCCCCATTCATGGAAAAAAGATGAAGCTTAAAAACAAAAAAATCTGTTCAGAAAGACTATTTCTAAAAGAAGCCTAAATCATTATATTTTTATCAGTTAAATGGTCTGTTGGCCACAGTGATCTGTTATTTTAAAATCCAAGCTGATCATTCACAAAAGATAAATCAGTGATACTTCAAATTCCTTGTTATCAATTTCCTCTTGGGCATCTATCTATATTATATATCATGTTGCAAGCTTTTCTGGTCAGAAAACACCTTTTTCTGATCATAGCATGGTAGCCAGGGCAATAGACAATATTGCTGCCTGTAAACCCATAGGAAGAACTCATGTGCTCAGGTCACTGAACCTGATGTCATTCATCAAATGAGTGAGAAATCTCCACTCTTTGAAGGATAAACTTCTTTTGGATGTGGTTTGTATGTCATCTGTTCATACAGGAGATTTATTTGCTTACACATTTTTATAGAGCACATATGGTTAAGCAAAGCCAGTGTTACAGTGGCATTCAGTAATTAAACATTATTTTAAGGCTGGGAAATGTCAGCAGAAATAGTATTTACTTAATTAGCCATCATGTTGTGTTTCAAAAGAGAGAAACACAAGCAGAAACTGCTGTGAATTTGCTTGCCTGTAGGGTGATACACCCAGTAAGCTTTCTGCCTTATGAAAAAAAAGCTGTTCCCACACCTGCGACAGCTGGATTTAGATGCTGAGCTGACCACATCTGCGCTGTGGTGAAAGGATTTAGAGTCATTTCAGTATATTTGAAGCAAGTTTAGTGAGGGAAGAGGGAGAGAGCTGGGGTGGTTCATTTTAATTCCTGCCATATTCTCATCAATCCAGGTGATGGTATGGCTTGGGATGGGCACCACAGCTTGGTCTGGGATGGGATCTGCAAAACCCCTCTGTTCCTCCAGCTCAGTGCTTGCAGAATTACACCAATGCTAATTTTAGAGGCCAATGCTAACTTTAGAGGTCAGTCTTATCAACCAGACTCCTTTACGACTGTCTTAAAAAAGATCCCTTGATGACCATATAACCTTGAATTAACTGTCTCTCCCAGAAGCCATCTAATTACATAATCTGTAATATCATTGTTGAGTTTCTGTTATAATTCACTTAATTGCATGTCTGTTGCTACAGTGCTTCAATTTGGGGAAATTTCTGTTTCCTTACTCAGGAAAACAGTTTACACTCTCAAGACCAATTTGCCAGCTGGAGCATAGTTCTTCTGCAAAGGGATGCAAAGATAAGGCTGTTATAAATATCCGAAAGCACCATCATCTCTGCTTTTATACTTTCAACAGTATGTATCTCAATGACAGTGCATCACCATCAGCCATCTCCATGAGTCAGATCCTTGCTTCTAGAACCTGATGATCTGAAGGTGGCAGAGTGCATAGCTGGGGCGGTCCATGTAGGCATGAGTTTGTCCCCTGCGTTGCTTTGAACATGTTGCTGAGGAAAAAGTATGAAACCCTGTGATGGCACAAAGATGTGAGGCATATTTATGACTAGCTTTTAAGTAGCTCTCACGGATTGTCTACAACAGGTCCTTTGGGTTTTCAGGCATGGTGGTAGCTCCAACCTGGTCCTCAAGAAGAGCTTGTGAGTGCAACCTCCCAGCGATATAGATTGGGAGGTATCTTGGCACGTTTTCCCTCCTCCTTTACATAGATTTTCTTCCCAAGAGGAAACAGTTCTGATCCTGAACTGGTAACACAGCTGTTAAGAGAGAATCATCAGCTGATTAATCCATCCAGGGAGCTGTAGTGACACACTGCTGGCTGTTATTTGGTAGTCATGAACAGAAATCAGGAGAGATATTCCCAGTTCACAAAATTAATACACACCAGAGTCTACTCCTCAATACCTTAGATCATATATATAAAACAACTTGGAAATCCTTTTGAATCTCCATTTATCCTCAGATAGTTTTAGTGTGGTCCTGAATTAGTGTTTGCTCTAATATGAATGAAATGTCAGTTCCATTTTGCATAGTAGTCTGATTTTATTGAATTTAATGATCACTGGATATTTCCCTAGAAGTCTTATCTTCATAGTATTTCAAGAGAATCTTGGGGTTTGGGGTTTTTTTTAAATTATTTAATAATCAGCATCTCACTCTTAACTGTTGTAAATGAAAATGGAGCAACATGTACTGTACTGATAACATGGCCTCACTAAATAAAAATGGGAAGGAACCAACCTCTCTCCAATTTTTCTTCATTATGCTCATTATTTGCTGCTGTGCCTGACCTGAGGTTTTAAAACATCTGTTTTACTAATTATGTTAAAATAAAGCACACTTGGTATAGTTTTGAAAGTCACTAATATTTGGAAAGATGTCTTGTAGCCCTAATGATAATTTTTAGTCTCCTGACTTGTGTATAGAAGAATTCTTACTATCATCTGAACAAATTGAGTAGTTTGATATAGGAAACCTAAAGTTAATCAAATTGCAATGTCTTCATATTGGTGCAAATTATTTTGACATTCAGAGAACTTTTTAAACTATGTCATAAATATTACTATCTATATCATCAGTATAACATGACCATTTATATTGATGTATTTCAGAATGAAAATATATGGCTTCCATTCATTTGTAACCAAATGTGAAGCCTGAGGAATATATAGGGCACAAAAACCTTTTCTTTTGGGTTTTTTTTTTGTTCAGCCTACTTTCAGTCTGCAGCTGTAAAAGATAGAGGTTTGCTATTGAAAGGACAAAACCAGAAATGCCTCAAACGAGTTGTCTTCCTAGAATTTGTTTAAATGCTGGTGTGTCTTGCAGTGGACTATAGCAATTTTTTACTACACAGGAATTTCTTTGACCATAGGACTTACTTCTGTAGTTTTCATCCCATTGAGTATGAGGGAAAGTAAAGGTGGTACTCATTTCAGAAGATCTTGTAGGCCTAAGATCTTTCAAAGGAAAGAAAAAACCCATATATATATATATATATATATATGAGGGAAAAGTAAATAATATTTTTAAAAACCCTTTTTTCTGGCAGTCTCTTGTTCTCATGAAATTTATTCAACACCTTAGCAAAACAGCCTGTTTTACATATACAGCTAAATGAATATTCTTACAATTCATTATAAGCCTATCATTCTTAGAAAGAGACTGTTATGATTTTGTTTTACTTTTTATTTAAATATCACTGTTCTTATCTTGAGTAGGTTTGAGTGGGCAAATTAACACATATTTGGTGAGATTTGGTAAAATTAGGTTAATACTTAGGGTAACTTAAAGAATCAGCTGAATTTGTTGTGAAAATCATGATTAGTTCCTTTCAGAAACATCTCTATTTTGATGCTTATTTTAAAGGTGCGAATGGTAGAATCATTCAGCCAGCAAATTTCAGAGAAAAGGTGCTGTCTTTTGTTTCATTATGTTTGCTTATGCTTTTTGATTATGGGAGAAGAAAAAAAAGAAACAACTAAAAAAAAAAAAAACAAACAAACAACCACACAACACCAAAAAAAAAAACAACAGCTGCTTTTAACAAGATTAAAATCCATCTGAGACATGTGAAAGGTAGAACATGAGTCAAGTTCAGCAGAATTCTCATGGCAATCTAGCTCCAGCGCTGACTTAAAATTCATGTGACTTAAAAGCTCTGTGTGTCTGAAACAGGTATTCACAGATTTAAAAGGAAAAAAACAATACAAAACAAAAACCTCATCTTTATATCTCTGAATTCTTATTTCATGTGTCTTGTTCCAGGTGACAGTCTGATACAGTGTGACTCTGACAGGAGAGAGTGAGTAAGGTCCCTTCCCTTAGGATTCATATTTGTAAAAAGAAAGATATTTTAGCTCAGTCAAAAAGTAAACAAAACAAATAAGGACTCAGAGATGGGATTCAGTGTCCAGGCATTATGAGGAGAGTCTTGAAGCTCTTTTCCTCTTGTTGTGTCACAAATAGTTGCTCTGTATATTTCTGGGGGTTTTTTCCAGATTATGAAATTAGTTTACCAGTCCACAGGGACTATTGGGGATGCGGTATTTTCTCCTGTTTGGGTTCCTAGAAAGGTGCCAAGGAAAAGAGGAGAAGAATCAGCAAGTGCATGAAGAATAATCACAGCTGAAAATAAAGGTGTGTTATTTAGCTGTGGCTTTAGGCCTGTATAGATTTTTAACCTATAAAATAGACTATATTTCCTATAAAAAAATCCTATAAAAAAATAAAACTTTTTTTTTTGCCTAGGAGCAACACAAAAGCTGGGGCTCTTGGATCCATGGGAGGGGAGCATAAATAGTGCCTCTCCTTCAGGGACAAAAGTGCCTGGGCTGTGGAAAGTAAAAATGCTTTGTTGTCCCTTGGTCTACCCAAATAAGACATGCCAAAAAGCATAGCTGAGAAAGAAGGACCTTTTCCCAGCACAGATACACAGTGCATCAAAAGTGCCTTAGTTAGTTCAGCTGGGGCCCATGATTTCAACACCACTTTAAATATAAAATACTTTTGTCATGGAAAAATAGCATTGCTCATGTCTGTCCCTACTCTAATTCGATAAAGGATCTGGGGCCATGAACCAAAACTTGCTAAGAAGTCATCCCCCAAGAGCCACGTGGTTCATCCCAGATTTGGGGCGGATCTTCAGTTCAGGGAGTTGGGCTGGGAGGTCTCTGTGTTCCTCCCTTTGAGATGAAGGAGACAGGCAGAGCTGTGAAGGCAGAGATGTCTCCAGTCCTCGCCTGTGTCCTGGTTTTCCTGGCAGGCTGCTGGGGTTGCCAGCATCATGCCTGCCATAGCATGGGCAGGGTCTTCATTTGTCAGGAGAGCAAGGTGGTCCAGGTTCCCCGGGACATCCCTGCCAACGCCACCGAGCTGTAAGTAGGGAGAGGGAACGGTTGTGAGCACCAGCCTTGCTGCTGGCTCTCAAAGCAAACTGCTGCTTGGCCAGCCAAGGGTTGGGTTTGTAGGGACTCACTCGGCAGACTTACACCAGCTGTTTTGAAAGCTCAGCCCTTCCTCTGATGCGTGCTTAATTACATCTTGAAGCTCCTCTCTGCTACTCTGATCTTGCTCATTTTAAGATCTCTGTTAAGAAAAGATATGGTATGTTATAATGCAAAGTGCAGATTAAAGTTTAAACAAGCTTCCTTGGTGCTGTGACAGTAATTTGAAGCATAAAGTCTAAGCTTTCTTTACAGCTTGCTTTAACATTGTTGAAACGTGTAGTGCAACTTGTCTGACCCAAAAAACTTGATGATGAGTGTTCGTATTTTTTACTGCGGGAGCTTTCCAAAGGTTTGTGCTTGTTTGCCAAGAAGCAACTTAATGTTTTCTTTTTGAAATCACAAAGGCGTTACAGAAAGGACTCTGATAAACACTCAGAGAGCAGTCCTCTATCAGAGGAGCAGCACAACTGCAGTTGGAACGAACAGTGTAAAGACACCGTACTGTGTTACTCAAGGAAGGGTTTTATCTATCTTAAAACTTCTCTTTGTTTTCCATAAAGTAATGTGAGCAATCCTGTATGACAGCTGTTTTCTGTGTCAGTAGCACAGGCGAGCAAAAGAGCTTACGCAATGGCGAGTATGTAATTGTGCAAGTGACTGTTTTCAGTTTTATTTTTTTAAAGTAAATTATATCACCCCTTGCCTATATCCACAGCCATCTGATATTGTTAAGACCTAAAGCAAAAACAAAAGGAGTCCTGGATAAACCCTTTGATTAATAATTGGAGTGGCAAGTTTGGAGGGAGGATACAATGAAGAACGATATGTCAGTAGTTGGAAAAATATACTCCTACCCCAATTTTACACATCACAATATATCCATGGTTACTATCCCACAGTTTTCCTAGGTCAGAAGTTTTGTTTTGTTCAGAGGGAGGAGTTATGTGCACTGAATAAGTAGACTGCGGTGAAAACTTGAGAAAAATGCCTGTGTTAACCACAGAAGGTCAGTAAAAGTTTAAATCATTCTCGCAACTAGAGGGAAAAATAATCCATCTGTGATTTAGGTCATCTAAATCCTGAGTGAACTGTGCTCCAGGCATACACTGCTAATTTTGTTTAATTTTGCTTTGATTCTTTCTTTAGATTACACAGTTAAGGTCTGCCTTCTAGGTATTAATCAAAAGCAGTTTGTAATTATTTCTGTAAAGAAGTAGAGTTTAATATAGCCAAAAAGCACCTGTTAGTAAAATGGGATTTGCCCACAGCAGATCCTTGTTAACTTCTCAAGGGTTTGTTGAGGATGCTAATTTGTGGGTTCCTCAGCACAAGTGTGTATTCTCTGAAACAGGCAGACTATGATGTTAATGCTACTGAAAACAGCAAACAAATGCTTTCTTCTGGCAGCACTGTGCAAATACTGGAGTTAGAATCTCTCAGTTTGACACTCTCCTCTCTTACACCAACTTTTGGTTTTTCAGGATGCAATTCTTGTTCCGTTCAATCGGCGTAGCCTTGGGACTGATTTCAGCATGGTTTAAAAATTTGTCCATTAAAACTATATAGAGTTGCTTTGAATATATCAAATGTTAGTGTTACTAATGCCAAATACATTAGCTGAAGAGCTATTAAGGGACAGATAAACTTTATATTTTTCCTTCAAGGTCAAAGAAAGACTCTAGAAAGGTGCCTTTCTGTGCATCCATCTGCTGAGTGACCAGTGGGGTGATTCAGGTGACTAAAACAGACTTTATGGCTCCAGGTGCTGTTGCAAATTCACCCTTGGTAACAGAAAATGCTTGCTTTATGCTTCTTCAAAAAGCCTCAATGAGTCAAAAAGGTTTTAAAATCCATGTAGCAACTTGAGCGTGGATGGTCATGGTGTCTAAGGACCCTGTATCGGACACAAGCAGAGACTTCTTGCTAAATACAACTCTTGCAAGGTAGTTTTTTTCACTCAAGGTCTCACTCTGGGAGTGCTGGATGCAGTCTGTTTTCATTTGACATTAAGAAGGGGTATTTATTCAGTATACTTAGAGCTCTTCACCTTTTCTTATGTGGTCTTTATAACTTTCCTAAGCTATCCTAGTGTCCTTTCCTAGTGCCTTTTAGTTTAATAACATGCTAGTGAAAGCCTTGGAGAATGAACAGGAGCCTGGTTAAGCCTCAAGAACTTCTCCCATTGCTGTGTGTTCCTGTTCCACTACAGCTGTTTCTTAAGTTGGGATAATGGCATGTGGCAGCCAGCTCTGTTACTTGGTAAGAAAACTCAGGATAAAAGTAAAAATATTGCCCTCGACAACCATTATATCTGTTTTTTACCATAACTAATTTTTTTTTTTTTAAATTTTTTTTTTGAGGACTGGCCACTGACATGTGCTGCTATGATGGGTTTATTTCTGGTCAGATTGCTTCTTGGAGATTTACAAGCACTCTGCAGCTGGAAAGCTCTAAGTGTTTGCAGGGGAGACTGTGGTTATTAGTTGCTTTGCTGTATAATCTTTGCCTCAAAGAGGAGTTGGGTAGAAGAATTTTTGGCATTTTCTTATAGATACCGAAATGCCTGTGAGAAATGTGATGGCTCTGACTTACAACTCTGGAGATAATGCATGAGAAACAGGAGGCTGAAAGTTCAGAGGGGAAACGTAGGTTCATTTGTGTCAAAGTATTTACTATTAATTGCCTCACAGAGTGGGGGGGGGAGGGGAGCAACTCAGTAGTCACCTAAGGCAGTTTACTCCATGAAGTTTTAAAATCCAGTGTCAAGCTTTGTAATCCATCCTTCGTATTCACTAAGATTTGATTTAGTCATTAGAGGTCGTGCTTTGAGAAAGTAATGCAAACAAAAATAACTTTTTCTCAGGATAGAAAGGAACCTTCCTAATGTTTAGAAACTAGTTTAAGCAGAAATATACAACTCAACTGGGAATACAACTCAAAATACCAGGAAAATCTTAGTTATTCTCTTACAGCACCCTGCTTTGGTTTTGGGTTTCTCATCTCTGTAGTGCTTGAAATCTCTCTAATGGTATCCCAGGGAAATAGAGGTCTACCCCAGCAGCTCAGTGCGACTGTTTGAGCGGTGGACAAAGTAAAGCAACAGTACAAGGTAGCTTAAGAAGGGAGGCAAAAAAGGCTGCTTGGTCCAATTCTATTTGTAATCCTGCAGAGTTACGTGAGAGAAATGTTAATATCAGCAATTTACCTGTATCCTGTAACTAATGCTGTGATCAAAATGTATCAGGAAATCAAATTTGGTCATGTTGTATTGTTATATATATAAAGAGAAACTGCCTCCAACTCAGTGGCTTTCCTAATTTTCTCCTGCTCCTGAACTTTACTCCCTTGATGTTTAGCCCTCCTTAGCAAGCATGCAAGTGCAGCAGCCAACAGCAGCATGTAGATGTTGGCCAGTTGGTTCCTTCTGCCTAACTGTTTCCACACTGGGGAGGTGATATAAGAAACACCTCTTGGGAATGGAAGCTCCTCAAAAAAAGCTTGCAAACTTGGATATGTGACTCATCTAATTAAAAGGAATTGTTTAATGTGTTAGCATGCCAGAGGCTTCAACAGCAGAGTGGTGCCAGTTTTAGAAAGGAGCAACTGAGATGACTGAAATAATTGATGACAGAGACGGTCCATCATTTGACATCCATCTGTCAAAGTGCTATCTAAGAGGAAACTACAGATAAAATAAAGAAGGTCTAGGCTTGATCAGATGGTGTTTTGTATTTTAAAAACCATTCTCTGGCTGCACTAGCCATTGTCAGAGCTGTTTAGAGGTATGTTATATGTAGTGTTTACTCCCGAGCATCTGCAAACTAGAAACAGTGGGATTTTTTACTTGCTCTCTGCATAGGTGTTTTTGTACAATTGCTCAAGGATATTTATTTTAGACTATCAAGTCAAGGCTGAGTAGATGTCTGACCACTAAAACAGTGGTTGCCTTGAAATAACAATTTCTGTGTTAGATACTGAGTCAGATGTGCTTCCCCACAACAGAAGCTGCAAATGATGTGAACAGTAGCTGCAGCATTGTTACTGACAGCAACAATTAGGTTGTTGGGGGGTTTTTTATGCTTTCACACTTAAAGTTGAAATTACAATGAAACCTGCAAGCAATTACAGTTCTTGCTCAGATGTTTATACTGCTGGACTGATCTTTATCTAGGACAGACAAGGTGTATAGAGGATAAAGTAAGGTGGCAAAATGATGACCCATGAAGCTTTCAAGTCACTGTGTTATGATGGTTAATCATATAGTTAATCAATAAACACACATATTATCAGAAGGGGATAAGGAAATTTGCAGAGCAGAGCATATTGAGAATATATTACATTGTATATAAAGCTTTTTTTTTTTAATTTAGACCAGCTTTGCTTTGATAGGGTAGAAAAAAGTCTGCAGTTAGTGCTACATTCTTCTCTTCCTGAATTTATGATCAGTTCATACTTTGCAGCAGAAAGCTGTAGAGGTTGCTGTACAATCACTGGCTGTATATCGGTGGAGTGGTCCAACAATTACACTGGATTCTATATTTGACATTTTCATTGAGAAGATAAAAAGAAATGGGCAGAGCATCAGAGAGGAAAAAGAAAAGGAAGAAAGTGACACTAAAGGATAATAAACTCTGCAGGGCAGATCCTCAGCTAATATAAATTACCAAGTATATATCTCTAGAAATATCCCATTTCCAAAACTTTACAAGCTTTTCAACACGAGGAGGTATGCTGCACCCAATAGGAACTGCTTTGCAGTAGAGTACTCTGCTGCCTTACTCGTGATGCTACGGCAATGATGCATCTATGAGAGACATATGGTCGAGTCTGAGGAGGTATAGATGTGTGCGTATGTTTCTAATGTATTTTTGCAATTAAATTCACTTGAAATTTTAATGGCAAGTATATGATTTGTTAAATTACTAAGC